TTGTCATGAAGGAAGGTGTAGAGATAGGAGAGATCCTCGTAGTTGGTCGTCCTGCATCATCGGTGATTCGCCTCTCAGTTGCTGACTCGGAATGTCGTTGGAATTGCTAGGGCGGTCTTCACACATTATCAGAAGCGGGCAGCAGATCTTAAGATGGCCGCAGGTCCTCCAAACTTCAGACATTCTTGCAGTGTTTTAGGTTTTCTCCGGATCAGGACCAGGGAGCATCGTCAGGACCCCCCTTTCCGATAGGGATTGATGTGACCGTAGCGAGAAGAGCTCTGGCTCAAGTGCTCACGAGACTCTCGAAGTCGATCCCGGAAACGAACTGTTGGAGAAACTAATGCTAAGCGGTGGGAAGCCGGGGGCTACGGGAGGCAAATTCAGAGGCGCAGCAATTCCAGAACACCACGGCGACTCTGATTGAACCTAAGTGGCCAACAGCTTCGATCGAGCACTGTACAGCTCGAATCTACGGCTTCCGATTCTGAGCGTTCTCGGTCTGCGCCAAATGCTTCTGTGCAATACTTCTCGTTGTGGATTACTTTTAGAAGTCCACTTCGCAAGTACCCCAAAGTCCCGCTCGAAAAGGACTTGACAGATGGGGTTCTTAATTCGATGTCATGGGTCCCTTATGGGACAAAAGGTCCCTCATGTGTCAGACTTCCCCCGAACAGATTCGGCATCAGAGCAAGCCTGCTTCGATTTCGATATCCGATTGCGCTCTCGCTCCGGATTAGGGGCAACGGGAGGTCCGATTCGGACTATGACCGGAGTAGGAGCCCCATTCATGAATTTCCATTCCACTCAGGCGCTTCCGCGGAGAGGGGCTAGGGGGCTGTTGCCCCTTCCAGATTGAGAGTTCGTAATACTAAGGTATAGGAGCGGGTCGCCATGTTGGGAATCGGCCCCATGCAAGGAAACCCCCCCCCTCCAAGAAGGATCCTGTGGACTCCACCGTTCCCGCTAGAGCCATCTAAGGATGAAGGTTTTAATTGTACAATGCGATTGAATTGAGAGCATTCCCTTATACCAATCCCTTATTTGGAGGTCTCGACGACGCAAATCAGAATCAAGAGAAAACTGAAAAAACATCTCCTCAAGGCGTCCCCTCTTCGACCACGCATTTCTGCAATATAGAGACACAGCCGAGATCCATACTATATCATCTGGACGTTCCGAGGCTACCCAAGGCAGGGATTTTCGACTCGAATCGTTGATCTTGTTCAGGCACCGAACTCTATAGAACAATGGGGAACTGCGACCAGAGACCAGCTTCGGAAGAGAAGGACTTCGGCGGTCGCCTAAATGAAACCTGGGAAAGCTTCGGTGGAAGTCATCATGAGAGAATGGGGACAGCCAGGGAACATTCCGGAAAAAGACCCTCGCTCAGTTCTCAGTCATCACCTTCTCGATACCAATCAACTAATCACGTCTCGATTGCTCGGGTCACGCTGGAGGGTAGTCATCCCGATCCGACTGGGAATCAGCGCTTCATCAAGTAGCGGCGCTTCTTCAGAGGGGTGCACGCTCCGATTCTTGACGACACAGTTTGGAGGCTGCGCACCCCCTCGTGGTCGTCGAGCAGCGCCATTTTGTGAGAGCGATCTATCAGATACTCGAGGAGGATCGGAGAGCAGCCCAAGAATATGAGGAACCGCAAGATGAGCTGCTCCACGCGGATGGAATATGCTAGAATCTGTATAGGAACACAGGCGACCAGAGATAGATTCAGTGATGACTAGGGCCGAGAAGAATATGCTTAAGGGATCTCGGAATATGCATGCGGTATGCGCGGAGAAGAAGAGCGGATATGCTTTGAGAACATGCGCAACATTTGACATTATTGATTCAAACACACTGCGCTTCTTGATATCAAATTACCTACAGGAAGCAACTATGATGTACTTTTTCGAGTTTCCGGAGAGGAGGGAGCGCCGCTTTCGCGGAAGATTCACTTGTGCCGGGAACCGAACGCTAATTGAGTCTAAACTCCATGGGTCGCGGGAATCCGATGACGCACGCTCTACAGAGAACCACATCTCCGTCGACCGAAAACGTATTCGAACAATGAGAGGACATCCGCTCGCGGTTCAGGCATCTCCTGATCGAGAGCGACCGAGGACCGTGCCTGTGCCAGGCCTTCGGGAAAGTTCCAGCCTATCGATCGGAGGAGCGCGATCGACTTTTAACCTGACACTGATGCGTGGGCTCCAAGCAAGTGAAGAGGATGCAGCTCTCCAACGTTCTTCATAAGCCGCACAGAACCTGGATTTAGTTTTACCAAACTTGCGGTCATTCGTCGAGACTCGCAGGACCGTTCCCGGCCGAGCTGGGTTGAAGCTGGGTAGAGACATCTGAGAGCATTCCGAGTCTAGGCAGTAGGTTCCACTCTTTATCTGAGCATTGATCCTTTCGCTGCTCGAATCCTCAAATTATAAAATCATTAATTGGTCCTGGGTAGGATTGAGTGAGAGATGCCGCATCGGCACAGAGAATGAGTCAATACTCGCGAACTCGATGCGGTCGTGAAAATATGCGTTGCAAGCTCGAAAAAAGATCAACTATACGAATATGCGCCAACATATGCGTTTCATTGGAATCCCGGTCGTAGGTGATGACGGCAACGCAAAAACTGGTGCGAGGGTCCATTCGCGCCTGAGTCTCGCGAGAGGGCTGACAGGAACTCTCTGACCCCGCTTGTTCTTCGCCCCTTGGCGATGCGCTCGGCTCCGTGAGCATGGGACGAGTGCTCGACCCACAGGTTGTGCATAAAACACGGTCCATCGAAAATATCGTTCATTCTCTCAGAGCATCCATGCTGCTCCGGCAATCTTTGAATCTTCTGCGTACAACATGGAACTCAAGTTCGTCGTGATCGCCGCTATTGTAGTGTTACAGGTCTCCTGCGCACCTATATCCGACGCATACCACCTTCCACGTCTGCGAAACCACGGAGTGCCGGAGATGTCGATGGTGGAACTTCGGCGCCCACCGGAAGCAGCAAAGCTGATGCTATCAGCGTGGGAGAAATATCAGAAGATTCTCCGATCTCGGCGCCATCCGAGGCAGAGATATCCGAAGATGGTGATGTCACGGGCATTTCGAAACCGATCTCCGCCGACGAAAGCATATCCAGGAACAACGTCGGCGAAAGGAGTCGGCGAGCAGTGCCGATTGCGGTGGACGAAAGTATTTCCAAAGTCGTCGACATCTCGGATTCCGCACCTATAATGTCAGAAGGGCAAATCTCTGAGGATGGCAGTATCTACGACCAGAAGCCGATCTCCATCAGCAGGAATTTGGAGAGTGAATTTCCCATCATAGGTCCTCCCAAAGCTTTCGCGCCGGTTCAACTCAGAACTCACCAAAACGGTGCCCCCCGCAGATCGTTCGCAGAGTCTTTGAGAATGATCGCTGGCCGTTACAGACTGGCTGCGAAGAATCTCAACACCGCGCAGAAAGCCTACTCTGAATCGGGTGTCTGGGGCCTCGCCGATTATCTCGCCTCTCTTCCTGAAACTCTGGGGGACACGCCTGTGATGGGCTTCACCAACATAAGCACCGCTCAAACCTCCGACTCTTTGGCCATTAAGGCGTCTCTGGATCAACCGCTGGCACTCAATGGACCTCCGTTCTTTTTCGACATGAATGAAATCCTGCCGAGAATTCTCAACGGGATCCTAGAGACCGAGCGTGTCACATTAGCGAACGGAGAACCCGTAGTGATTGTGAAACAGATAAAAACGCTGAGGGTCCTGCTCGACATACAGCCGCAACAAGCCGCGCCGGAAGATGTCAAAAGCGTTCAACAAGCTGACATTCCGGCGAGCCGTGAGATGACGCCGGAAGCTCTCTTTGCTTCGGGTCGGTAGAAGTGGACCTCCGGGTTGGGGCCGGGCTGCTGATTTCGAGCGGTCGGCAGAGTTTCACTAGTCAATAGCGAATGTGTTTCGTAATCGCGTGATATACTGTCCCAGATCTGGGATCCAAGCGTCGAGCGAGATGGGTAATATTTGTATATATGCAATAAAATTCATAATTCATATTCACGGGAAACGTTACCCTTATATCGATACAGATTTATCAGTTGTGATCAGCTCAATGTGGCGGTCCCACTCACTCAGCCCAATGACGCATATCCATGTGAATGTTCCATCCAGCGGAACTGAATTTTCGACGTGTGGCTATAGTGGATGAAATGTACGCGGGATTTCGTCAGCGTGGTGCACTCACGCTTCTTCGGGCTACTCGGGGAAGCACTGATTGGCAAATCCTTCCGGAGCGAACCAAGGGCCCGGAGAAAAAGGAGGCCGGGACTCGTTGCTTCGAGAACTCAATGTTCGCACCCTTGTCCACAAGGTCCTATGAACTCTTAGGGAGTGCCACATCCCTGCCCGACACAATTCCAGATTCCAACCTTGTTTTTTTGCTGAGTTCTGAGGACCTCCCGAGAACCATCCTGAAGATTTTGTTTGAGGCGGAACATCCGCTAGAACGGAATTCTCGCTCGGATTTACCGCCGTGATTCTGAGGTCTCTTACTTTTTTATCAATCGGAACCGGAACCTCACATAATATCTTCTCGTGGAATTAGAAATAATAATCGTCTACTGCGATGATCGTACTCACCTTCGCTGTCAAGCAGTGGCCGTGGCGCGTTTTATCTCATTCCTCTTGGAACGAGACTCTACCCCAGAATCCCCATGAGAAAATACATGCTCGCTTCTGTTTCGATTGTTTTATTGATCGATTGTTCACCGAGTCTGCAGCTTGTGCCATACCATACATGGACGCCCGACTGTGTATAAGCGGCGAGCAAGAGCTGGCGCGGGAGCTCGCATGATAGAAATATTCATGCTTCACTCCAAATACTATAATTCGATACAGCGTGACGGAAGTGCGCTTGTCCGGACGAAGCTGCCGTATCTGCCTGAATCCTCGATTGCGGCTCTTCGGAGAAGCTAGTGGACGACTCAAGCTTCCTCCTCCTCAATTCGCTTACGCTCTCCATTTGTCCATTGCTATGAAAGTCTGCCGTATTGATAGTTCAATAGCTTCCCTTCATCTTTCACCTAAGCCAAGCGCAGCCTCCGTTGGCATTCTCCCGATCCGGCGGTATTCTTCCACATACCGAACAGCAACCCGTGAGGGGTGGGAGATCGACAGCGCGGAGGCGTAGCAACCATTTTTCCTAGACATTCTCTAGACAGTACCAATCATGCAAGGTACAAACATCATCGACTTGACCTCTTCGCGTAGCTTTCCGAACATTTGTCAATTCGTTGGTCGCTCTCCATGCATTCATGATAAGCATGAGTCAAAATAAGGAACATTTGTGGGTTATGAGTTATGAAGCTCGTTGAATCGAAGGCTTGTACCGATTCCGACAATCGCCGACTGCAATGTCGCACGAACCTCCGCATGCAATATGATACGTGAGACTTCCCGCTTAGGTACAACTTGCGTGAATGGAGTCGATCTATAGTGAATCCGATGTCATACTTGGTCTTATTCCGGCTGAGATCATTACAAGAGTTCGAAACCGAATGTGCCCGATTCTCCATTGTCTTCGTTGCACGTGAGTTCCGTTGAGGATTGCCGTCTTTCCGAAATGATGAATGTCATATCCAAATTATGATGAGGTTTACAAGATGCTCTGTACATATACGCATACATATATATACAATAATAATCTTCTCATAGAGTTGTACATATAAATAAATGAATCCAGATCGAACAGATCCGAAAACCGGACACAAGACCCAGAATCGTAGGAACCATAATAAATGTGAGAGTCGCCGCGTTCGAGAGGAGTCGGGGCAGCACAATTAAAAATGGACTGGCTCACTCCTGCAAGCTTGATGTTGGCATTTTCGACTACATACTCTTCTCGAACTCTCGTCCGATCCGCGGCGCATATGGGGACTCTTGGGCTGACCGCGAGATTTGCGCGCGTTTCCCCTTCCGATTACGGACTATGCGAGATCTTGAATCTGAAACTCAGATTGTGAATTCTGCCGCGAGGATTTGTGCATCAACCGCATCGTCCTCCCTTTTTTCCTCCAGCCCCGTAGACTGCTCTTGCACAAGGTATAATGGTGATTGGATGATTTGAACTTCCCAGGATCAGCCGATCCGGCTCGTATGAGGTACACAAGGCAGGAGCGGGTCGGCGGAATTCAGCGAAAGTACCGAGGAGCCCCCCTGGTACGAGAATTGCTGAAAGTACGGCTGTTCAGATTCTTCTGATATAGAGTTCAGGGCGTCGGCTCCTTGGTTTTCAGGAGGGGTCAGCTTGACGCTTTCTCCCGTGAACTCTTGATCGAAGTACCGCGTATCTGTGTCTGATGTAACCTATTGCGAGAAACGGGGCTCTTAGGTTTTTCGGCTACGAAATACGGAAGATCGACACGGTGACTCGAGCAACAAATCGCCCGGAAACCCACCTGAGGCTTGAAGGGCGGTGTCACTTTCCGGGCCAGCAATCGCTCCCAAGGCATGCAGCGGAAGAACGCATGCTCTTTGATGTCCTTCGCGTCACGCTTCCCTCCTCCAAGACGGAGCTTCGGATCCTTGGTGAGAAGGCCTCGCAAGAGCGTGTTCGCATCCGTGCTGAGAGTCGGCGGGAACTGCACTTCTCTGGCGACTATCCATTCGAAGAGAACCTCTTGGTTGCCGCTGTAGAAAGGCAACCGACCGCACATCATCTCGAACATCACCACCCCTAATCCCCACCAGTCAACGGCGCGTCCGTAGTCTTTGTCGTCGAGAACTTCCGGTGCGAGATATTCGGCCGTACCGCAGAACGTCCTAGTGGTGCCGCCTTCGTGGAGGAACACGTTCGATTAGGATTCTGACAGAAGGAGCGGAGGATTTCGTCAATCTCAGGGAAAATCAGAATTTCGCTGCCAAGTTAAGTTACCGAAAGTCATGTCTTCTTTGCAGAGTCCAAAATCAGCTATTTTAATGTGGCCCTCTCGATCGAGTAGGAGATTTTCCAATTTGAGATCCCGGTATATTATTCCTTGCTCGTGAAGGTACTCAAGGGCCAGGAGGATTTCGGCGGCGTAAAACCGGGTTTTCTCCTCACTGAATATCCGCTCCTGTCAGGGAAAAAAAATCATTCTGACCGGTCTCTATTCTCGGGTATACTTTTCGAGCGCTCGCGATCAGCGGGTCTTCTGCAGGTAGATGAGCAGTGTCGACTCACCCTTGATAGATGGAAGAACAATTCACCGCCGTTGACGTACTCCATCACAAAGCACAGTCGATCTACTGTTTGGAAAGAGTATTTGAGGGAGATGAGGAACGGATGCTTTGTAGTTTGGAGGACTCGACTCTCTGTCAACGTGTGGGCCACTTCGTCCTTGGTTATCACCACCTGAGACCGAATACATCAGATATTACCATTGGACTCTTACAGCTTGACCGAGAGCGGCTGCCGTGCTCAATGAGATTCACGGTGAAATCGTTCTTCCACAAACCTGCTTCTTGAGTATTTTGATGGCGTACAGTTGATCTGTTGATCGCTCGCGACACAGAACGACTTTTCCGAAGGTCCCCTTGCCCAGCACTCGAATAAGCTCGAATTTATCGAGTGTTATCTTTGACTGGCGATCTTTGCGGAATAGAGCGTCATATCTGTCACGTTGATTGCTATGCTCCAACATAGACGCGTCCTCTGCCATCTCGATATCCTGGTGGAGATTCTGGTCAACAAACTCGATGGCTTGCACCTGTGAACCGATGAAAGCTCGATGACGTGATTGATTCCCCAATGAACGATTCGATCCTCATTGAAGATAGAGAATTCACGAATTCACGCTCCCTCATCTTCGGACTCACCCACTTCACCCGGTCTTCATTGGAGTCCACCGAGAATATGCGCTCGATAACTTGGGTCCATTGCAAGCCACGAAGAATGAAAGTATACGGTCGGGGCCTTTCTTGACACATCACCTGCGAGATTGGCTGTCTCGGTGAAAGGCAATGAATTTGGCAATGTTGGATCGCAAGTCACACAGAAGATGCTGATCCCGGCATACCTGACACCCCTTGACAGTAAAGTTGTTCAGGCGATCGGAATATTGTCCTGGTTTTGGCTGATTTTTGAAACCGATCAGCGACCCATCGTCCCGGAGTATGAAGTATCTTTTCCTCCAGTTGGGGATATGCTCACCTGTCGACAGAACGGTACACTTATAATCATCTCCTTGAATAATTCTTGTCCTTGATTCTTTCTTACTGAACGCTAGGTATCGAATCGCTGAGAATCTCGTGGCTAGCGACTTCCGGAGACGGTATCGTGCATCTGAACTCCTAGGTTAGCCAAGAATCGCGCGATACCAAGGAGGAAGAACTATACGAACTCGAGATACCGAGGGTTCTCTCAGGAAGGAGGCCGAGGAGAATGGTTCGATGCATGGCGCAATGGAAACGAGCCGGAGGTAGTCTATGATTTGTCTCCGCGGCTCCGAGGTCTTCACCATGGGGCGAACAAAATCGAGTTCTCACCTCTTTTGTGGAGCCATCCTTCCTTCACAATTTTCGGCTCCATCGGTCGGCCCTCAACAACTCGGGCGTTCATCGGTGGGCTCTGGAAAAAAAGGTACTCTCGTCAGGTGGACTTGTCATGGACTTAAAGAGGGCCACTGTCCCCGGCCGTGCTTCTGGGCAGCGCGACGTTCACGACGCGACGGGCGGGGAGGAGATGAAGTCGATCGATGAGATGGGGGGCATGTCCAGAGCATGCCTGGGCGAAGTGGAGAGTCGGGGGACTCTGGGGCTAACGCTCAGGTTTCCCAACAGAGATTACCTCCGATTGGGGAAAATGTCCAGAAGCAGCAGGTGCCTGCGCTCGAAAGGTGGATGTGCCGCTCTTCCTTTGGAAATGGTCCGTTTTCCAGAGGTGAGGCTCGGAAATGTGACCGCCATGGTGGGCATAATGTACAGAGAGCTTGCAACCCATACGCGATCCCGCAATGCTCGTGAATTTTTCAGTATTCCTCTGTTCAAATGACCGCGAAGAATCCCGGGAACGGACGGAGGACAACAATGGAGGTGGAAGAGCGAAAACAGAAAGGACGGGAACGAGAGGCTGGCTAAGATGCCAGAAGTGAGCAGAGAACGCGTGAAAACAACATTCAAATTGAGGCAGCTGATAGCACTCGTCGGGAAAGCTTCCATCGACAGTAACGGGAAAACAACATAGTCAACAGAGTCAATCAGTACGAGCACGAGCAGCTCTGTGATATGATCAATAATCACAGTATGATTCGAAATTCTGCGTGAGATTTCAGCCCAGCCGAGCTTCCTCGGAACGTAAACTCTCTCAGATATTGCGAAGCGATAGCTCTCCGACCGGAATCGTGGCTCCTCTCGAGACTCGAACGATTTCAAAGGAAGCTGTCGCTCACGGAACGTAGGCGGCATGTCTTCTCCACTGGATCGACCGTCCGCCCCAGATCCTCCAGGGACCTCTTCAGGAAAGCAGGAGCCGCCTCAGTCAGATCAGGATACACCTCGTACTTAACTAGACGCTCACCGATGCGCTATTGTTTCGGGCCGAAGGGAACTCGGGGGTCCAGCACGGGAAAACACACAAGAAAGTTGTCACAAAATAAATAAGGATAGCTTATAGCTTATCCCCGAAAATAAACTAGATGCCCGCAGCGTCGACCCCCGGAATCAGAACTATACCTGTTAGAAAAGCCTTGAGAGAGGCAACGGTTCGCTCGGAGAATGTGGGGAAGTTTCTTCTTGTGTTAGTGGGCGATTCTCGTCCTCAGAAATCGTCATCGAGTAGGGTTTCATCGCAGAGAAAGAGCAGCTCATTCTCGCGTCGGAGACGGATCTAGTCTGTTGTCCGCTGAGCCCGCTCACCAGAAGCAAACAACCGTAGTGACTTAACTATCGGAGTTTCGGAGAAGGGTCGGTTCAGGCGGAAACTTCACAACTCCGTGGCGCTCGAAGATGCATTGAGTCTAAAGGGGTCCGTTTCAGCGTGAACATCCGTCTCAGGGAGCGTATGACCACCGGCATCAGTCTGCCCTGTAGTGGAACAACTTTGGGCTCCTTGTCTTGACTCCCGCGCATTTCGGGACTCGGGGATCGTCCGTACGGATTCATCAAATGATAACGATAAGATGACGCCGTCTTCCTGAGTTGGGCTCGAGATCATACTGGAGGGACCCGATGCGGGTGATGGCATCTAGGTCGCTGGGCTTTGCGATTGGACCGCCCGCGCCGGGGTGTTCTACGCTGTACTTTCTTTCCGATTTCCTAGTCTCACTCTAGTGTCGGATATCACCCTCGGTCCTCTTCTTTAGATTTCTCCCCTGTACCTGTGATCGAGAATTCCAGGTTCACCAAGAGCTAGTAGAGCCTGACTCCAATTTCGCGAAGGCAAGTCCGCGAAGGCAATCGCGCGATTCGAATTTCGCGCGCTCTCGCGTCTGCACTCTCCCCCGGATTCCTGAATATCGAAAATAAACATGTGGAGATCCCGTCGAAAGTTCGAAAGAGTCGATCTGTTCTATAATATTTCGGTTGATACGACAGTTCTCCCATCGCCTGGTTGCAGAATCCCAGAATGCTTTCGCTTGTAGCCTACGATGCGAGTTCGGACTCAGATCCAGAGGAAGGGCTGGTGACCCCCGAAGCCCGGAAAACCTTGGCGGCATCCGTCAACGCCACCCCTGCAGTGGACTCCAAGGCCTCTGTGAATCAGATCGTGCCCATTGACACGAAGAATCAAGTTCTCATGTACAACCCTCGCTACGAAGATCTGTATGCCCCAGATGTCGGACCTGTGAACCCGTTCAAGACAGCGAGTCAACTCGTAAAGAAAAACACCCTCGCAGGATTTGCTGAGCCCGCGCACGTGAATGCCTATCATTTCGAAGCGGAGCGTCGGAGTTTTCATCATCTAGGGTTCGGGCATGATCCCACGGAAAATGCAGATCCCGATAAAGTTATTGGAGTGAACGCGACCGGTGCTCAACAAGAAGATTCGAGTTCCGCGGAGAAGAAGAGCAAAAAGTCGAAACGTTTGAAGAATGACAACGCGGACGACATCGAAGGTTTCCAAGGACCCTGGGCGCCTCTGGCCGACGAAAAACGAAATGTCAAACCCTCGGCGGAAGAGCAGGAGGAACTCAATGAGATCTTGGCGAAGAGACAGAAGCGCTCGAAAGCCACCGACGAAGAGAGCTCTGTCGATGAGAAAACTACACTCCACATCGAGAACACTCACGACTACCAGGGCAGGAGTTTCCTGGTGGCTCCGACTCATCTGGACGGCATAAAACTGCGCGCTCCGGAGAAGTGTTTCCTGCCGAAGAAGATGCTGCACCAATGGGCCGGTCACAACAAGGGTGTCGCCTGTATAAAACTATTTCCCAAATCTGGCCATCTCCTGCTATCCGGTGGAATGGACTGCAAAGTCAAGCTGTGGAGATTCTATGACGACAGAGCCCTCATCAGATCGTATACCGGCCACAAACAAGCTGTTCGGGACTGCGATTTCAGTTACGATGGCTCTGTGTTCCTCAGCACGGGTTACGATCGTTACGTGAAGCTCTGGGACACGGAAACCGGACAATGCCGGGAGCGATTCTCAAACAGAAAGGTCGCCTATTGCGTGAAGTTCAAACCGGATAGCCAGGATCAGTTTCTCGTCGGGACATCGGACAAGAAAATTCTCTGTTGGGATGTACGCTCGAACAGCATCGTACAGGAGTACGATCGGCATTTGGGGGCTGTGAACAGCATCACTTTCGTGGAAGACGATCAGAAGTTCGTGACTACCTCGGACGACAAAAGTTTACGGGTTTGGGAGTGGGATATACCCGTCGATATCAAGTATCTCGCCGATCCATCTATGCACTCGATGCCCGCTGTAGCTCTCTCCCCAAACAGGAAGTGGCTCGCGTGTCAATCTATGGACAACAAGATCGTTGTATTCTCGGCCTCGAATCGATTCAAGGTGAATCGGAAAAAAGAGTTCAAGGGACACATGGTGGCAGGTTATGCCTGTGGCCTGGACTTCTCGCCCGACCACTCTTATGTGGTCAGCGGAGATGCGGACGGAAACATGGCCTTCTTCGACTGGAAGTCCACTCGGATGTTGTGTAAAGTGAGTAGTGTCTGAGAAATTTGAGTCGAAGGCTCGGGGAAAAAAATATTTCTGCTAGATCTATTCTGTCTATGCTGACGCTAACCATGATTTCCCCTCCCCGCAGCTGAAAGCTCATGAGAATGTCTGCATCGATGTCTTATGGCATCCCATGGAGACATCAAAAATCATCACGGCTGGATGGGACGGCTGCATCAAGCTCTGGGACTAGGGCACCGATTGTAAATTCTATGAGGACTCTCCTCCTTCGATGACTAATTGTACAATAAATGATCCAAGATATAGTTGCGGCGAGAACCGCTATGTACACAACCCGGTCAGATTATTCTTTATTGGCGCTCCCACTCGATTTTCACCTCTACGTGTACCAAATCTCTTCCGTCGGACTCTGATCTGCCTAGCACGGGAGATCCCCTTGAACCACTGCGCATGACTCGCGCTCCAAAATCCGCGGGAAGAATGAGGGGAATTAGTTATTATTATTGTTCCTCGGCCAGACCGGAATCGAGGACCTCCGCGTCTTATCCGATATGACTCCGGCCTGCTATTCTTGGATCGGGTCGGGAATCGGAAACTTTTTTGAAGGAATAGCAAACTTGTCCCGCGCCAGGATTACGAACCTCCGTAATCTCCAGAGAAAATTGAATGCGATCAGCTCTCCCTTATATTGGGATGAAATTGCACAAAATACGGCTCAGTCTGCTTTAGGTACCAAAAGCAAGCATCGAAGGGATCCGGAACACCCATCCCTCCTTATTGCGAGGACCTACAAGAACGGTCATCCGACCTGGCGAGAGTGCTTTCTTCGGTATGGCGGACGGTTCGTGTTCTCCGCTCGATGTCTCACGGACGATCTCCCTCTTCTTCCCCTGAGCAATCGTGAGGATTCATTCTCCCTTCCCAGAGAAGGTTCCAAGAATGCTAACGGAGCGAAATGCCATGGACGCGGGAATTTCCGAATCATCTTCCTGGATGAAACATGAAACCCTATGGAAAGTGCAGTTGTGTTTGCTCAGAGCAGAGCTCCGAACTCCTCACAGAAAGTCTATGCGTTCCCAACCCCTTATCACAGTATCAGGTGTTTCCGATCAAAAACGAGATCGGTCATCCTAGCATCTCAAGCTCGGCCCGTTCAGGGGAGTCGTTGAAGTTCGATAAAAGCCGCCTTTTGGCATGGGCATCGTCTCCCAGCCCCATCAGATATCCGGCTTCATACCAGCGACGAATCACATGGCAAATGCTCAGGTATCACGATCCTCCTATCGCGGCGAGTCTTCCGCGACCGCGTCCACTTTGACTTGACTCTGGTTGGAACTCATCTGCAATAGAGTCCTCTTGTCCATGTCCGCTTCCGGGTCCAAGGAATTGACGTCCCTCAAGATGGGGAGCGTAGTCATGCCACGAGATTGGAATTTCGAAAATCGGAGGTCTTACCTTCCGTTTCACACGTTCATAACGCCGGAGCAGATTCACGTTGTCTCTTTGGAGCTGTTTGATTATCTGCCGATACGAGACGCACTGCCTCGTTAGGTTTCCGTTAACTTCCGAGAGGTTGTCGATTCGTCGTTTCAAAAACTTCTCTCGTTTCAATCGAAGTTCCGTGGTCGGACACGACAGCGCTTCCCCGCATCCGCTGTGATTCGGAGGCTGCGAATGAGAAACAGCGGGGAGTTAAGCGGAGCTTGCTCGGGGAGATGCTGCATACCCCCAGGAAACACATCTTGAATTCAGTTTTCTCACCTCATGCGACGACGTTCTTTGGAGAGCTAGCTCAAGCCTCTGACATTCACGGGACAGCAGATCCGTTTGTTCTTGGACAGTGTCGAGCATATTTTCCTTGGACGCGAGCTCTAACTGAAGGAAGCGGCTCTCGCGCTCCTTCAGATGGAAACTCAATTTCAATGAAGCCACCTGTTCCTTGAGTTGTAGCAACTCCTGCTGGTTTGCGAGCGTCTCGAATGTGGCATGCTGCGCGGACTCGGGATCCGAGGGCTTCATGAGCGTCATCTCCGGCAACGAGGCTGTCAAGGGCCAGAGGGATGCAAAAGTGATCGAAACTCTCTCAGATTCATCTCGGATATACCGATTATAAATTATGATGTCACAAACCGGTATCGATCATAGGTGTCGCTATCCGTAACGTGCTGCACTTCGCCCGGAGTTCATGACTCAAGTTCATGAGGACGCCTTCAGCTTCCTCAAAAGTTATTTTGCGATATCCCGTGATTGCTGGGAGGCCTTTGGGTATTGTTCTCGGTGTGTCGTTCCCGACAAGCTTCTGAACTTCGATTGCCAATGATTTTTTCTCTTCCTGCGACCAGCGAGCATGAGTTTTTTTCTCTCCCTATCCCCTCGAGCAAATGGGACTAGCTCTTGCATTCGTCTCTCGCTCACCTGAATCTTATCTAGGTAAACTTTGAGTCTAGTCGTAGCCTGTCGATCGCTCGACGTACACGGTGCCGAAAGTCTGCAATTCGTGACGACTTCTTGTTTTTCCAAGCGGACAACCGACACCAGGAGTTCCGTCGCTTGTAGGAGACGGCTTTCTTCGTCGAGGATTGTCTGAGATCGAGCGCGATAATTTTTATCCGAAAAGGACATGGACGGGTGGGGAGCCAGTCGCTGATATCTCCATAATAATCAGATCCAATCCCTCCGATCGCTCCTAGATCACTCACCTTAAGCAACTGCTGATTGGAAATGTAACGTCCGAGGAGTATCGTGAGCTGCTCACAATAATTGTGGCTCTCTTCCAAAGAGAGCTCCAATGCGCCCTGAGACAATTTGGGAAATGTTCAATCTCCGACATTATTCGCGAGAGAAAATCGCTGACTGCGGAAGCTATCGAAGTCGATGGGTCCCTCACCTTCTGGCAATCTAAATTATCGACTTGTGCCCGAAGTCGGTCCAACTCTAGGATAGCTTCAGTTTCATCACAGAATGCTGGTACCAAGGTGATCTGTAATCCTCGAAGTCGGCAAATGAGTACCGCATATGAGATGCAGAGTCGAAAGCAAGAGGAAACATTTCGTGAGGACCTCCGCTTCCCCACCGAGCTTTACCGTGTTGTTCGGACCAGTCACAGCTTTCATACGCTCGACGGATTCCCCGCTCGAGGGTGCGCCACTCCCCTCTTCCTTCGAAGTTGAATCTAGCTGGGCGCTCACATCCTGCAGAGATTCGACTTCTAGTCGTCCACTAGCTCCGGATCACAGCATAAATTCAATTAGTCAATGCCAGTCGGTGGAATTACCTCAATGGATGCGAATCGTGGCGGTGAGAGCTGAGACAGTTCGGTCGCTAGGTTCTCGTTGCTGGAACACTGGCTGAGCGGCATGTCATCACAGTCATCGTTATTGCTCTCCGCAGAGTCACTGAAAGCGTGAGGTGATCCCATGAGAAGTTTCAGTCTCGAATTTCGCTGCAGCTCCTCGGGGAAAGCGACAAGATCCGAAGTAGTTGAAGCGACCACAGAGGAACTACTCACATGGAAGACGTTTCAAGTTTATCGGTGAGGTCCTGGATGACCGTCTGGAGTTGAGCGAGTCTTTGTTCGTAGTTTTCCGCCAATGAGTCCATGAGCAGATCGCCCGCCGATCTGCCGTGTCCCGACGACATTTTATGGCAGATATCTAATATGAATCTCAATCGAGTTATCATCATGATGATGATACCAGGTTCGGAAACGCTGGAGTACCGGAGGGAATGACGAAATTCTATTTCACACCTCAGTTACTCGAAAATCATCGTGTTCAGCAGAGGCTGAATGATCATAAGCGCTTCGCACCCCACGACTGCGTCGTCGCGTCTTGAATTACAGAGCATTTTCGGAACTAGTGGTCTCTGAGTGTTCGCGCAGAACTCTGAGAGTCGACTTCATGAGCACGGCTCGCAGACTGTCACCGGCTATCGCGTGTCGACAGTGAGTGAGCGAGCCCGCCCGCCCGTTCGCCGAGCTGACCTCGCTCCATCTCTGATCGGAAATCGAGACCAAAGAAAAACTAAGACTAACCCGATGCTGCTGAATACCGGAGCTGCTTCAGACAGCTGTCTGGTGATGTACAGGGCGAGATTTTTCGAAGACGGCACCGACTAAGCGTTGGCCGTACGGTGCCGCAGGAGCAGGAGCGGGAGAGCGGAGCGCGGGGTTCCTCAAACCCTCCCATAGAGACTCGTGCTCGCCCGACTCCCGCTGTGTGCTTTAAGAACCGAAAGAACTTCCTGTCGTGATCGAATTAGTGACAATGACCCAGAGTCGCCTTCAGCACGGTCAAGATATGGCTCGGACTCCACGCGCGAGTCTTTCCCGTATCGTAGATGAAGGCTCTTGGCCAAGGGCTCCTCCCGCCGCGTGTTCCCGGAACTCCCGTCGGGAACGGCTCGTCGATCGGGCTTTTGATGACTGAATGGGAAAGTAAGAGGAGCATGCCCCTCATTGAGAAATTTGCGATCGATACGAACAGCATCATCTCCGGAGCTCCGCTGCCCACGATCCTGCCGCGATTCCTATGCTGAAAAGAGAAATTTCACCATGCTCATTTTAGGTTCAATGCGGAACTCCCTCCAGGATCCCTATTCAGAAACATCAGATCTGTCCCAGGTTGGCACTGTGAATCTAGGAGTGAACTAAGAGGTTAGAAAAAAAAACCAACGGCTTTGAAGCGGTAACATTCTTTATTTCCGAACTGAAAACATCTGGCAGTCTCGAATCTCAACTATTGTTGTCAATATATCGGGCTCGATAGTGGATCGGAATCGATAGTATTCGAGTAGGTTTAGATGTTATTCGGACACCAGATTGTGGCATAGATGATGATACGGGATGGAAGTACCGCTAGTCGCACGATGGTTTCAACAGTCGACAGTCATTCAAGAAGTACTTTTAATGTTTAGTCGTCGATTTCAAATATTCACTAAAGGTGGAAGTTGTATCATGGTTCGGCAATAAAGTCATTCTCGGAGTTCTCTTCCCTTTCTTCATTTCTGGTTTGAGTATCGTGCCCTTCCGCGTTCCCCACACATCTACCATAAGTCCCCACCTGCAGCCGTCTGCATTGAGTTGTCGGCGTTTCGGAGTTCTATTTGTGGTCTTCGCCGATAGCCACTCCTGGAGAATCGCTCAATTAACGCTTCCTAGGGCGACTGTAACTCAGTCGACAGTTTGACATTTCGATTAAACTATTTCTGCTCAAAGGCAGCGATAGAGTACGATAGACTAGACCGATGTTCCGAGGACACGAGAGTATTCGGCAAGGAGCTCAGTCACACTGATTCAGTCTGATCGCTCGAGCCGCTCGTTCTCTATGGAGATCAGTGCGTGATGGGGCTGCTCAATTTGAAGACAGTATTCCACTAAAACTTCTAAGACGGATCTTCCAGAGACTTCCGAGTCAGCTCTTCGCATCCTCCCGTTGAGAAAGTTTAGTCTCGGAAGAATCAGGAGCTTGAGCTCGACACCGAAAATTTTTTGATTGGAACGGGCAAGGGGAATATCTCGTTTGCAGCGCAGAACCACTTCTGAGCTCAGAGCCGTCCAACGCGTCATTTTCTCCTCCCATACATCGACGGAGTCACCCCTATTGGGTGGAGGCAGCGGAAAATTCTTTGATCGTAAGACTTGAATATATTATGGAGTCAGGATCAGCTCCATTCTCTAGAGCGGGGAATCCTATCGTGTCGAGATGGTGTGTTGTACTTTTCGTTGGGATTGTCCGATCTTAGTCGAGAGTCGGCATCCAATCACCAAGGCTTCATCGACGGCTCCAATGAGCGTTGCTTGACTCACTTCTGGTGGCTATGGCTTCCGTCCATCGGGATTTCCCCGGAGAGACCTCTGCGGAATCTTTCGATTCCGTCTACCGAATCTCATATTGCGTGGAATTCCAATTTTACAGCGCCGGAAGAGAAAATCGAGTCGAGTAATGCTAAATTAGCACGGAAAATGTGACTGAGAAATGAACGTCTGCACACCTGTTTAGCGCGATGCAAAAACTAGCGGTGGAGTCGACTCGAATGGCTTCTGATAGAAGCTCACTTCCGAGTGACGGATCGCTGCTCGGAGAAACCTGGTCGCCATTCGAAATTCCAGAATGGATTTCTTAAAAATTCTAGAGTATTTTGTGCGCCGTTTAGGGCTCGCTCATGGCCCTCATCGATTAGGTTCCCTTAGAACTGTCAACACCGTCCAGAGCAGGCGGAGTCTCGTCTCGACGTCTACGGAGAAAATGGTCGAGCGGAGACGGCTCGGACTCGACATTCGGACGCTGACGCAAATTTTATTTATGTACAGGGGTTGCACCCAGGCCAAGAGAAGGCGTGCGACGGTGACCCGTTCATCCGCATAGTGTAGTCCTAACCGGTTACAGTGATGGGGAGCACGCAAGGCAGACTCCGCCTCGATGGCTCCCTAGACCTATCTAGGTTCTTCGACCGATACCTAACCCGTGGATGGCGGAGCTGACGATCGTGAATTGTGTCGCAGAAGGGGAGGCTCCCGGAGTATTGATTATGAAGTACCCACTATGAGAAATTGATTTGATTAGCTGCATCCAGAATCAACTCGAAGAACCTAAGACATCCTAGAAGACGATCACGCTGCACGAGGCTCCCATGTATAGCCGGAGAATCCTCGTTTTCGGGAGGTGGGCGGTAAATCGCCGGGTAATATGCAACATGTAGAACCGCGCTCGAGTTCAGAATTGGTTCGACTGCAGGATCTCACGATTCCTTCGTTTCCAATCCATGCAGGATATCCCTCGCGGAATGATTGCCAGGTGTTCGAGGGGCGAAGAATCAGGGCGATTCCCTCCAGCTCCGTGCTCGAGGTTCAGAACAAAACGAGACTGGAAGCTTATTATCGAAGTTTTTCGTGTCAGGCTCCAGAGAACGGGGACTATGCCATGTACTCAGTATTTCCTATCTGACTTTCGCGTTGGGTTTGCTCAAAGTCTTGGGAACTGTCTTCACTCTCGAATTATCGGAAGATGGGCCCAGCGGTCTGGGCCGACCTCCGGAAGCTTCATTGTTTCTATGGCATTCTTTTCTTTCATCACTTTATCTTCAATTCCTTGAAGTTGTGGAACTCCACTACTGCTTGTTGCGTTCGTAGGAGCTTTTTTGATATCAACTGTTGTTCCTACAATCGGGGTTGTCGTCGATGACATCGTATTAGACCTTGTACTCGGGCAGACGACGTCTCTTTACTTTCCGCTTTCCGTTCACAGGAGGCCCCGGTATCAGGGGCGGCAGGGTATGGGTACCAGCTCCATCGTAGGACCCACTCTCCTCAGAAGGCGGGCTCGGAAAGCCTAGAAAACAAGCGAGAATAATCAGTCGATACGAATCGGATTCCTTGCTCCCCGACCCCTCACAATCAGGAGAGGATGCTGCAAGTGCGGTGAGCGCGACTCAATGAAAGCGGTGTGGAGCGATGAGACACTTCGGGACGGATCGACGCGCAACGATGTCACAGCGGACGAATGTGCAGGCAGGCGAGTGAATGAGCGTGTGATCTGACACCGATGCTGCTCTCGAGTGCTTCTTCCAATTCGAGTAGGCTCACTCACCGCAGGAACATCACTCGATTGGCTAATCAGCGATCATCAGCATTTTCGCCAATAGATGCTCTCTCACAAAATCAATGTATGAGTCATTCGTAATCGAGGCGGAGGAGGTAAGGAATTTTGGTGGGATAGCCTCGGTGCCGTCGCTCTGGACGTAGTGGTCGCCGCAACTACGGTGGGTAGTTCTTGAGGAAAGGTGGGCGGATATCCGTCTGATGGGGTACAAGTGATTGTTGCGGCACTCGAGCTCTGTAGATCGACGCCAGACCCCTCCCTCCCTGAGAATTCCCCGTCCGTCGATTGCCAAAATATTGAGTGGATGATTTCACCCCCCTCGATTGTTTGAGGAGTGATGAGGAAATTACTCACCCCCGATTGGAATAGCTTCTACAGATGCCGACCGAAGTCGTTGTTGGATCTGCTGGGCAATTTGTCCGGTCGAGTACGTATTGGAAGATTCCTCAGATTCTTCGGCCTCCTCCTCGTCGTCCCGTGGTCTACCAGCCGATGCCCGGCTGTGGCATCGACTCCCGTGCAACGACTGACTCGGACCTGCACCTCCTTGCAGGAGGTACCTGTTGATAGAGACTCGGAATGAATGCCTATGCCAGTACACCGACCGCTCCGAGCACAGTGTGCTCTGGTGAGGGGATTTGAATTCTTAGGTACTGACGAATCAATTCATCCATCAGTTGATTTATCCCTGGAGTTCACATCGATCACACTTCACCTTAGGCCGGAGTCGAGAGTATGATGCCGACTGTAGTGTCGGTCGACTTCAGGTTCTTCGGGTTGCTGCTGTTCGAGCTGCCTGAGTAGGTCTTCCAGATTCCGGAACCTGAAATTCCCGTAGGGTTCAAGCTTCTACATATGTTCGACTCATCAGAAACCGGATAAACGCCTCTTCGTTGAAATCATGTTTTTTCCGACGACTCCGCCATACTGTACCTTAATGAACCAGAGCCTGTTAGCGCCGCCGAGGCCGCTGTGCCGTCGTCGATTGCGTACGTTTTATGGTCCTGACCCGGACTAATCGTAGGCGTAACGGTATTCGACGCGGCTCTTTGTTGCTGCTGCTGCTGTTGTTGCTGCTGATGTTGCTGCAGCGCTTCCAAGATCTCTTCGTGGTAGCTGTACGAGGAATGAGTATTCGCATCTGATGTGTAGCCAGTGAGAGTTTTGAGAGTTTTCTCTACCTCGGACAGCGTGTCAGCTTCGGCTGCCCAATCTCCAGGGACTCCGACAGCTCCCATTTGGGTCTGTGAACCTCCGAGGTTATTCGGAGAAAGCTCTACGAATGTCTCCTCGCCTGGAACACGAGAGCCCACGATGAGATGGGTCGTGCACGGTCGCGTTATTCACATTAGAATATGAGGTTGCACACCTCTGCTTGATGAGTGACTGCCATTGCCTAGCCCGCTGATGGCGTGCTTGAGTTTATCCTCGCGATAGGAAGGCATACTACCAAAAGTGATGATCCTGTCCTCGGCCAGTTGCTGGAGTGCCTGAAGGAGGGCGGTCTTATGTGGGGGTGGAGTTGTCGCCCCGAGGCTTGGATTTCTACTATGGAGTTGCGGTGTCGCCCCCGGAGTTCCTATGAGAGGGTGCGAACCACCTGCAACGCCGCTTCCAAGGGGACCGACCGCACCGCCCATCATGGACGGCCGATGAGCTTTTTGCTGCTGCTGAAACGGCAAAAGCGAGCGGATTGGACGGAAGTCTCGTTCGGAAAATAACCGGGTACCGAATAGAGCTCGAGAAGGGTCGGAGGCCGAGCGAAGTTATCGGCAGATGGAGCGCCGAGCAACGCTGTCCGAGCCTACCTGAAGGTAAGCGGCGGCTACGGCCGCCTGACTAGTCTGTTGCTGAGGAGCCGTATGTTGCGTGGGATGCGGTTGAATTATAGGCTGGAATGGCTGCTCCAGTTTCGGCATGGTACTTCTCCGGTAACAGGTGGCCAGAAGGGCGAAAAAGATGAAGACACCGCCGACCACGGAGACTAGTACCATCACTAGAGAAGGAGCTCCCAATGAGTCCTGAAGTTCCAGAGCAGGGATTTATTGCCGTATGGCGGATGATCGGTCCCTCGTACGGGACAGAATTAGCAGGTAGGGGGACGAATTTCGATCTGCAAAGGTACGCACCTTCCTCGCCACGTAGGTTGTTGTAGTGTTGCCCGACTTGACCGAAGTACTGCCGTCTTCTTTCTTTGTTATAATTTTTTTATTTGGATCTGGAGTGGTACTACTCTTGTTGTGGTTGTCCTGGCTGCGGTTCCGGAGCGAAATTCCAGCGTCAAAGTAAAGTATTTGGAAAATCGAAGCCGAATCTAAGCTGCGGGGCTGAATGCTCCCTTACTGACCTACTCCCGCTGCTCGAGGTCGTCGGCGTTTGTGCAGGGTTTGCCGTAGTGGAGTCTCCTTTATTGGCATTGTTGTTGTATTTGTTATTGTTGTGCTTCGCAGATCCTTTTCCCGAATCATCTTTCTCCCCACTGCTCGGCGTAGTCACTTGATCGGGGACGCTGCAGTCGTAGCCGTTGAACCCTACATTCCGGACGGGGAAAGGTTTCGGTGAACCTATTGGACTGATAATCTCGAGATCCTCGAACGTTTCGACGTCCTGACCGCTCCCCATCTCCGGCTTGACATCTGAGCGACTAACTTGCCTTTTTCACAATAACACGAGTTCTGGTTTGAGCAGAGGCCGTGCCCGGAACATTCGTCCCCAGCTCTCACAGGACAGCCAATTTGGCCCTGGCGGAAGTGGGCCAGGTTTTGGCAAGTGCGATTGACACAGATGTGCCCATCGCCGCATTTTGTCCCATCATACACCAATCCGACGAAATCCAATGTTTCTCCGGCGACACCGGTCGTGGCTCTGCGGAAAGAGCGGTGAGATGATTAGAAACGAGAGAGGGGTTGCTGTCCGTGTGTTCTCGGGACAGCTCTCTCGCGCGACAAGGCGGGAAAAGGTCTTGGGCCCTTCTTCGGAACAGCTAAGGGCCCGTGAGGGATTTTCGAAAACTTCGAAGCTTAAGGATATCTATAAGAAAGTAGAAGGGATGCGTACTCCTCTCTAGAGGAGACTGACTTGCACTCGTATTCTGTCGAATCTTTCGCGATATTCATCCGTGTGTACTTTTCCATTCCGGCAACAATGGGCATGCGTCCTCCCCTTTGGCACTGGAGACTCCCGCACATCATATGCCTGAAATTTGATTTGTTCTATCATATCATTTCCTTTTCTATATTCTTATCTTTCGTGGAAACGTTTTTCATTGATATGAGAGCGGCGATGCTCCCAATCACGGAATACGGGCTCTCCCGACTTCGCGGAAAAATATGTCCCATCGCATTTCAGATTCAAAGACCCGGAAACCCACTCTCGAGTGCATTTGATGTAGGCGCCATTCTCATCTTCTCCACAGTTCCCGTTCTGCATGCCTTGAAGATTGTACTCAAAGCAGGCGTCGTCAGCTTTCGTAGCTCCAAAGCCCCATACAAACTCGCACTGTTCGTCGGGTGTTTCACATCGCCCGCCGTAACAGTACCCTGCACCGGCCTTGCACTCCGCACCGTTCTGACGGAAAATATCCGTGGGACACTGAAAATATTGAAGCACCGTGAACGACTGGGTATCATAAAGACACATCTGTGTGTGCAATGGGCTTGTGTGGGCTTATCGCGGAAAATTTGCGCAACCCATGGAGCAAAGAAGAATGAATCTGGAAGAATTAACGCTCTCAGACGAACCTCGCCGGTTTTCCCATCACAAAACTCTGGGAAATCGCATTCAGATTCTGGTTGCCTGCAGAGATGCCCTGCGGGCTTGAGCTGCGGACGAGGGTAGAGAGCCGTTAGAGAGATCCCTGCAGGTTCAGCAGGACGAGCGAGGACCGGATTAATCGCCGCACTGGTGACCCAGTCGGAAAACCCACCTTACAGTTCTCACAACAGGCACCCGCCGAACAATTTGCCTCCATGCGCAATCGGCAAGTGATCGGATCACAACACGGATCCACCTTGCCGCAGTCTTCGATCGAACCTGAATCGAGAGAAACACCTCACAACACGAACGCGGAAAGGAAGAAAGCCAAAAAGACTTGAACGGTCGACTACTCATAGACCGACACGCATCTCTACGAACCACAATCACACTGTTCATCCTCTTCCACGATGCCGTTGCCGCAGGTCTTGAAGTCCTCGAGCTGTCCAGGCTTGTTGAAGAGGCAAACTCCATGGCCCACTCTAACGTGTGAAATGTAATCATTGAAACTGCACTTCGAAAAATGACTAGGCTGTACGTGGGTTGAGCCCTTGTGACCCGACGGAGCTGCAAGGAGGGAGTATCGATTAGAGAGTAACAATCAGGAACGAGGAAACCCATCTCGCGCGTCGTTGCTCCGAAATTCAAAGCTCTGACCCGGCAGACTCCTCACCTAGAATTCCGGGGGTCATGATGCATCCCCACGGATCATCGCAAGCGCAGCTGTCGGAGTCATGCGTCATCCCTAGATTATGACCGAGCATGTGCGTTACCGTGGACGCCACCAGGTGGGGTTCGTAGACGTTCGTGTCCTCGCTGACACCTATGAATAGCGGGAGACGACCTTAAGCTCTGCCCTCGGGATGTTCCGCCTCAGCGGGAGGAACTCTTGAAAATCGCGACGGAATGCCTACCGACTGCTTTCGCGGTACATATCGTATCTGGGATGGCCATGCCGACTTCTTGTACTCCGGAGCAGCTCTGCATTTGGCTGTTTCCTCCCGTCTTGCAGGGGGCTTTGCCGCTGTAAAGTACGGGTCGCGATTTCGAAGGTAATCTCCAGCTTCTAGATCTACTTCGAGAGAGCGTTGTCTGAGCGACACTGTGCCCGTCGAGGGACTGAGTGAACACTGGAAGCTTGTGTTTGCAGATGGATCTGTGCAATGACGCAGTAACTTACGTCAGCAGATGTCGAGCGTCAGAGTGCTGCTGGTAGAGGTTCTTGGACGAGTAATCGAGGAAGTTGATGAGTGTTTGCTTTACATCGTTGCTCTTCTCGATCTGATCTCCGCCCTGCCACGTTTCGATATACACAATCGAAACGCGCGTTCGCAACTGCCGGAAATACTGGAACGAGGGGGGGATTATGGGGGGAATCGTAGGAGGCGGGAGGAGGAGACCCCGCCCCTGACCGAATCATTCGTCGTCAGACGGGCGGAACAAGCCCGCAGCGACTCGTATCGTTCCCGGGAGCCGATGAATGCAGTACATACTTTATTTTGATCTCGCTTCATATCTCTTGAAACGCTTGTTTATCCAAGTCGTCGTCACAACTCACCATGTCGACGCAGTTTATGATCTGGATAGCGTCAGCCATCACTTCGGTATGAGTCGCGTTCCGGACATCGAACTGGGACGAGCGAAGAACTCTCAATTAGTTTCATGACATGACAAACATTTCTCGAGAGAAGGCTGCATACGAAATTATTTCCCTCACCATGGCTTTATCCAGCACAAGAGCTAGCTCGATATACTTGAAAACTTCACGCACATCCCGCTGCAAGTAATGGGGAAGCTTCGTGAGATCCCGATAATGAATAAGTCTGAGCCCCCTCCCAAACATTCTCGATCCATCATCAGCACGCAATTCTGACTATGTCTTATGACGACAATCATGTTCCAAATGCAGAAATCAAAGCGTTTAGCTCAGTTAGTCCTATTCCGAGCTATGCGTTCTAGAAACTGTTCCGAGAGGCAATTTTTTAGAGAAAATCTTCCGAAATCCATGTTTAATTCCAAGATCTGTGACGTCATCGGACCTCACATCCTACCCAAGATCTCAAGGCTAGATTAATTTAGCAAAAACATCCTGACCCTCCTAGTCGAAAACTTTTCCTTATACCTCATTCGGCGACGTTGCGTAGAATAAGCTCTGATCGCAGGAGATAAGGACATAAGGTTTTCCTATGAGAATAAGGCTAAGCACATATACCCATGTTTCGGATTTGAATTCTCTGTTCACACGCAGCGATATGATATAAGTAAAGGCTCTCCCAAGCCTGAGGAATGGATCAAAGATCTGTGGCTAGAATCTCCATCCCCTGTGAGGGGCGTCGGATCTCGGAGTTCGGTTCGTGTGCGAGAAGATTTGACGTTCCCGAGAATCGGGGTTCGCGACTCATTTCGTTCTGTGGAGTGGGAATATTCCCCGATCCATCGTCCGAATCTCGGCGCCGAGACGAAATGACCTTAGCCCAAATACTTTGCCATCTGCACCTACCTTGTATCTTGGTGGGGGGTGAGGCTTCCTGAAGTGCTTGAAACCCCATTGGTGCATTTTGGAATTCCCTGGAAGGTTCTGAAGCGTGAATCTCCAGACTCGAATGAAGCTTGCTAGTCCCGTGCGAGACCTGGCTGAGTGGTTAGTGGTGAGCGACTTGAAGTCGTAATTACTTACCACACACATATTGGGTCGAATTAGTATTGTAATATTTGTAGATAACGTGGGGATGGACTCTCTGCAAGGAAAACGGTGTTGAGAAGAAGTTTTTCGCTGAAGAAGGTTGACAAAAAAAGATTTATCGAAGTCACGGAGAGGCGGTCGACAGCCATTTCTCGACCGATCAGATTTTCTCATCTATGCGATCCCTTTTGCCAAAACGTAAATCATAGCATCATCGAAATAAGCCCTGCCAGTTGAATGATTTCGCTCAATTGGGGAGTTCTCCTTGAAAAGTTCCCGGGAGACATATCCTGCGATTATCCCGTCCTCCGAGTCCCCGACCCTTTCCCACCGGGGAGAGAGTCATCGATTGGGGAGACGTCGACGACGACTTCTCTCTAAGAAGCAGTCCGAGAGAATTTGATTGATCTAAAATTAATATCCTTTCTCCCCGTGCTTTTCGCATCACAGCCGCGCGAAGGAGCCTCGAGAGGAGTTTCCGCCCGAGTCCGAGCGCCTCCAGCTCCCCTCATTCTTCCCGATGCCCTCTCCACAACTGAGAACGGGGAAGAGACATTCCACCTTCTTTGAACTCTATCCGATTGCCAAGCAACAGAATCGCGAGCTCAGCGAGGTTGTTGCGACGGCCCTCATCGCGAAGGTTTCAAGAGAATGCGTTCATCCGCAGTGTTGACAAAATACCCTTCCTATTGCAGACTTGACAGCACGGTTTAACTTTGACAACCGGAATATACGTTTTCTGAGATTTGTTTGTTGATGGCGTGGACCCAATGACGTCCCGGGTCCCGGTCTGTGAACCGAAGATCGGTCCCCTGATGCAGCCCCGAACCACTCATCGAACAGCTGACATCCATCCGCGCGACCTCTGCTCAATCCACCCTCTCCATGCAGCGAGTCGGGTCGCCGGGTAGCGCGTGAATCGGTGGCACTGAGAGCATCGGATCTCTCGAATCTTCGTTAGTATGAACATCGGCCAAAATCATCGCACGGACAGCTGAGGACTTCCCATCTGGGCGTAGATTAGCAGAGCTCGCAGACTGGAAGCTGTTTCCAGTCGATCTTGCGTCACTTCGAAATGTTCATATTGGTAGTCTGTCGTGGCGAGGCAGAAATCGGTCCGTGTTTGTTGAGGTTGACAGAAAGTCCGCTCTGTCCCGAGGAGCAACAAGTACAGGTGGGTTGACGTTCAACTGAACAGTTACTCCAAAAAAGGTTTACGCCAGCGCCGTTGTGGTGTCGTGACTTGCGAAGTCGTGAGTGGCATGTTCATCGCAGGTGGTCTTTTTCCCGGATGTGTATGTACCGAAAGATTTCGGAGACCCTTGGCAGCCAGTGCGCGCTCTTGAATGCCATGAGTGGCGCACGCTCGATCGAATGAGGAGCAAAAGGTGATTCTTCCGGGCTACTCTACGAAAAGACTCACGAAAAGTTGAAGCTCGGATATTTAAATCTGCTCCCGGATCGTTCGATATTCTTGCTGTGGACACTGCGGAACCTCGCGGACTGAATTCCGGTCGCATCTTCTTTCTCCAGGTCTCGCCGCATTTTGTTCCCGAGACGTAAATTGGATCCCGTTCGATACATTGAACTCGTCAAGACACTGAACGACTCAGCGGCATTTACGGAAACCCTCATACGAAGACTCACGGACTCCGTATCGGAGCGAAGAACGCCCGATCTGATTAAACTTGTCATCAACACGGAATACCAGCCAACAGTGCATATATTCTTCTACCGGAGGATACTGCGGCTGATCAATGAATTTATACATCTTTACGAAGTAGGTCTCCAAACTCTGATCGAGTGAATTTTGCCTCATCGGTGAGGTTTATTGAATAAGGAAAATTCTATGTCACTCCAGGCGATGGCTTGGCTGTCTACCCTTGGCGGCGCATATTCGGCAATGGGAGACTACGGTGAACGGTATGCCGAGATCGCCAAGAAGATCTCAATAAGACAATTGTGCTTGGCTCTGAACTCTGGAGACCCCACACACGTGAGTTTTCACGCAGCGGTACAGCGGTTCTCTCAAATGACGGGAGGTATCTCCTCTGATCGCGGACTTATTATTACTCGCAGGTGAGCCGTTGTTGGATATTCATTGCGATGAGCGCAATGCAGCACGGGTTGCTGTCTCACTCAAAGAGGTTGCTGCTCGAACAATGGAAATTTGCTCAATCGGTCGAAGGTCTGAGAGATCCCCGGCTGAAAAATATGATACTTGGGACGTGGGAGCTCCTTCGGCACAAACGCGAACGCCGCAGATTATCGAAACGTGTGATTCAGGCGAGAGAAACATAGTCTCGTCGAATAAATTAATATTTAATGGGAAACTCGTCTCATTATTGAGAGTTCCCTGGATGAAGTTTCACTCGGTGTCACTCCGTTTCCCACGTGCCAGCTACCACTCGATGCATCGACTTGTTTCTAAATATCATGTCAGATTCGTCGATAATGTCCTAGAGGGCGCGGGGAAATTCTCCACCCCGGCCCCTTCCACAGAGACTTCATTCTCAAAGGTAGTGGATCGGTCGCTGCGATCTCCATGGAACATTCCTCCGATCCGATCGCTCGGATGGAGTGTATCCAGGCTCGACATACTACGGCGGAGGCTGCTTCTTGCGTTCTAGAGAGGAATCCCATCTGACTCTTGTATCAGTGGATTGGCACAGATACGGTTTCGAGAGATATGAACTGAAATGCGTCACGGGGCGGGTCCTTGCAAGAATCACGAGCCCCTTCATGGCTCCTTGACGTGGATTCGCCTCAATTCTACGATTTTTCGCTCCGAGTCTTCGGTACTCCGGATCTGATTGCCCAAGGACTCACCGACAGGTCTCCGCCGTAGAATGGATGAATTACGAAGGTTTCGTTATGTATATGAATCACTCCGCTGATGCCATTACACGTCCTGAAGGCGGCGAGGGCTCCAGGATAATCTTTGACGATTCCATGATAATAGCAGTGCTCGATCTCCTGATGCGTCCGCTGTGAAAATCCGAGGTTTAGATACGCCGAAATGGGAGGGTAGTTTCGATTGCGCATCCGTAAGAATGTCGTGCATCCTCTCTCTCCAACGTTCCCTCTGCAGGAACCAGACTCGTTCTCAGGAGCGCGATTCGAGAATATAAAGAGCGAGCAGCGACTATCGGGTAAGCTTTCGAGTGAATGGATGGCCATTCCTCATCACACAACAGACTGAAGACCTACCCTCCAATTTCCATTTGGCATCAGATGTTTCTGAGGTATGCTCGGCTTGATGAGATTGTCGTTGAGCTCAAGTTCGAGTCGGAACTTATAATGGAAGGCTTTGATGAGAAGTGAAGTCTGGTGATAATGCTTCGTGGTCTGCAAATAATTGACAAAGGGTGAGAGATTTTCTTCGGAGTTATTCTCAGAAACCTTAGAAGCGACTTTATGGTGATGTGTCTCTTTGGCTGCCTTGAAACAAGCGGTCTAGCTGAGACGGACATCACACGAGAGAGTAATGAGTACATCCGCGTGTCTCGGCCCGACACGAATCACGATTTTATCCAATCCAATTCCCACAATCGTAAACTCGAGGAAAGTATCGGAAAGATAATCGAGCTGTAGCCGTTGGTGGCCTGCGCCTTGTTTAGCCGTCATAACTCTTCAGCGATGTGGTGCGAGCGTCGACCAAGGCTAAATTAAAGCGCCGACGCTTGCGGAATCTCGTGGTCTCCTCGTCAAGTTGGACCCCGAAAAAGCAGGGAATGAAGACTCGGCAAACCTTGCCGTGAAGAGTGATGGAGTCCCGAATACTAGATACTAGAAGTGACTCTCTCAGTACGGGGGCTCTTGTCGATATTATTCGCGGCCGCGCGACACGAAGATCGCTCGTTCGGGGAAATCATTGACTGCGTTGAATGATTCACGTTCTATCCGAATCTGTCGTCGAGCGAACCCAAGCGGGGTCTCCTAAAGATTAGAAGCTGATATCGTCTCGGAGGACATGGATTAAAAACGAATCGAGGCGTACATGTCTGCTGATCGAGAATTCGATCACCTACCTCCGATCAGGGAACCATCAAATTTCCGGTGTGACGGACCATCTTGTCAGAGCTAGATACTCAGATTTTTCTCGCGCGTGAGAAAGACGCTTGTGAAGAGTTATGTATGAGCCTTTCATTTTCGCTTGAATTTCGTCGGAATAATCTTCTTCTTCTTCTTCGGGAGAGATACGCGGTTACGAAGAGCACGGCAGAAACAATATCGGAGAAGTTTCGAGAAGTCCCAAACTCCGACCCTTCAGCCTACGATCGCTTGAGGATATGTGGTCTCTCGACGCTTCCGTGCCGAGGTGACTCGGCGCCTGAGACGAATCGTTCGTCAATCAAGTCGAGCCTCTCCCAACATTCCGTACCAGGATCTCAGCCGCTACAGGCGTATGCAACTGGGAAATATGATTTCCTTCTTGCACTATCCGTTCGGCTGCGCCGAATTCACTGTTCCATTCTGTTGAGCCACGGTACGGGGCGTATCGTTCACTAATATAGAGTCGCGACGGCACTATGCAGGTCTTCAAAATCTCAATTCTACAAAAGTATCTGGCTCCGCCTGATTGGGACCGGCACCCTCGAGTTGAAAGCCAGGGCCTGCGCCTGCACTCAGAATACATGAACATGGGAGTTGTTTTCAAGTTTCCCGAGAACTTGGGCGTTGAATGAGTGCTCAAAGTGCTCATGGGGTCTTCACCAAGGGCGTCGCCGCAAAACTCGGAAGCGACACTTTCATCGGGAGAGACGTTTGTCTCGAGTCGCCGAACGCTACAGCTGTCGTGAAGTACCTCATGCGTGGGGGAAACCCCCACTCCTGTCAGTTGTGATTATTCCCGAGAACGAGGAATCCAAGGACGGAGGCGACACCTTGAGCGAAATATGACTTGCCTCCGAAATAAGCAAGAACATTCAATATTATTCCAGGTCGATAATCTACTTTAGGCGATACTGGACGCCATGTGAATTGACCCATAGCCCGGGAGAGCTCATCTCGCACGGATATCCCAGAGCCCCCCACGAACTTTCGCCGAAAAACCCGAGATTCCTTAGAATTCGCCACCTATCGTCTCCCTAACTGACAAGCTAAATTAGCGAATGAGTTCCTTTCCGCTCATGTCAATTATGAAATTCAATGAAGAACGTCGCTCCGCTCTGCGTCTCTGAAGGATGGGAAAACTACCGCGGGCTCCATCCGTCCTCGAAACTACAGCAGATCGGTCCAGCGGGCGAGCCTCCGCTTATTATCGATTGCGGGTCCCTCTTCTGAGGAGAGAGGGAGTGGCTTGCTCGCATCGACGATGCACCTGCGATCTGCTCTCGGATGCACGGAGGGATATCTTCTCGCAAGAGCTCGAAGCGGCCGACTCACAGATGAGAGTCCAGGAGACAGCGCTCTATTCTGATTCATGGAAAATATTTGCAAAACGAGGACCGAACATTGGACGCAGCTTCGAAGGCACTCAACGTCGAATACCTTTGAATTCGAACCCCACGGGAAGGAAATTTCGTTGAGTGAACCTCACAGCTCACAGTCAGAATTTTCTCACCACAGAAGGACTGGAAGAATCAAGTAAGCCTAGAATGAGGTTCGTTCGTCGATGATCGGCAGGCTCAAACGGCAGGCTCGAGTTTGAGTGACTTTAAGCGTTTGTTCGCGGAGCGAGACAGCGTGTCTGAGTGGCTGCTTCGTCCACTTTGCGGGATGAATTTTTAACCGAATCATCATGTTCCCGCGCCCTCACTACCCTGATAAAGCGTTCCGCTGTACGAATGCGAGCACACAACCCAGTAAGTGGATTGTTGAAATTTTCCTTTCGAGGAATCCCGCCAGTCGCGAGATCTCAAGACTAAAACCAGGTCGGCGAGGTTTCTCGCTTCCCCCAAGCTCGAGCTCTTGTACGGTTCGAGGGAATAAGGGATCGATTTTTCCTTCGGACACATCACTCTCTCATGGATGTCATTCTCTGATTTAGCTAGCTGAATTGAATTTGCCTCCGCTGTTTCCTTTCGCTAATTTAGCACAATATATTTAAATGTATGTCTTACGGTGTTCGTGGGAACAGGCACGCAGTGCTGCTGTTGCGAACATTGATTCACCTTGTTGGAGCTGACGTCTCGCGTCGAGATACCGAGCTTTTGGTGATGCCTGACTTGGACAGGGTAGATGACCTCGTAGATTCGCGAGGGGATCGATGCTATCAGCCGCTCGTTCTCGGGGAATCGTTTCAGTCGATCCACGGCTGCAAGGAGAAAGGAGGCGTCAATCGTCAATTTCGATCCTACAACCCGAATCGATAAATCCGTTCCGGCTCGAGCACGATCTCTCTGGACTTCGGGGATCGTCAGGATGTACGCGATGACAGGTAGGTGCACTCGGGTCCTCCGAGCTCAGCGAGACGTTCCTAAACAATTTACGTTCAGCTTGAAGGCTCGGACTCATTGACCGACGCGTTTCCCGTTCGGGGATCTTGCGAGCGTTTGTTCCCGCGCGCTTCGATGAAACCTCAGGTGAGCGGAGATCGGACAGGAGGAGAAACTTGGACTTCTGACGCGAGCTTCGACCACGCTCGACATTAGCCGAGTCGTCGCGCCGCGCATGAGCGGACCCGGAGCTCAAGGAATTCGGGGAGCATTCGATACCCGTCTCGTCCGAGTCCGCCTTATATGACGGAAACACAGCGGCAGAGCGCAGGCCAAGGAAAGTGAGGGCGAAAGGAGGAGACGAAACCAATAGGATATTGACGCGGAAAAGATTCCGACCGAGACGAATGGAGCGCCGACGGGGCTGCGGATTCAACGGAAGACGGGAAAGCGCGCAAGTGAGGCTAGACGCGTCGTAGGACGAATAAAGGCCCGAACGCATTGCGATGGAAACGCTCTTTTCCAGTTGGCAGAATGTTTTGTTGTTCGCTTCGGCATTGAGCCGCCAGTTATCAGCGGCGCACAATGCGTGGAACGCGCGCGAGGTGTGACGATGATCGCGAACCCGCCAGCGAGCAGAACACTCAGCCAGCCGGCTGGCGATCATGAGGCCTGACTGGACGTGGAACGCATTCGATGGAGTTTCTCTCAGGACGGGCTAAATGGACCCTGGGAAAGATGATCCGCTGCCGAAAGCACTTTGTGCGCCTCATTAGACTAGCGATGGCGAACTCCTCTCGCAGATAGATCGATGTCTCAATGTAGCTTTGTGTCACGCTCGCGGATGAGTGGCCACGGCGGCAGAGAGCCTTTCACTCATTCGGCCCTCTGTTTCTTCGCCGCTCACGGCAGCTACCTCGTATCCGAGAGTGTGTCCGAACGAACGTCGTCCCTGTCGAATTGCGCTCCTTGCGGGGCGACTCCGACGATGAGGGCCTGTCCTGCTCCGACGCCCCGGTGGGAGGTGGGAGCTGCGATGGGAACACGTTGCAAATTGTTTCTCTTCGATCAGGTGATAAAATGCAAATCGTTCAAGTACTCCCGTCGCTTTGCGGTTCGAGCACCGAGAAAACTAATTCTATTTCTAGGTCGGAATCCATCCTCTCCATGCGCCGACTGCGGGCGCACGAGGCCGAAAGAACTCGAGTCTGGACGAGCTCGATTGTAGCCGGAATCGAGTGAATACATTGTAGGGCTGTGATTGTACCCGAGCGTATGTTCTCTCCAACTCGGTGAGAAAGCAATTGTTACTGTCGCAATCGGAAACGAGCGGATGTCTCCTCTGGTCGCCGTCTCTGTGTCCTCGTTCTTTCACTTCGCCCTCGTCGTTTGAAGATCTCTCCGGTTAATTGTAGCTTCTTCTCCTTTGAGCGGACGATGTGCTGCTTCTTTAGAAGAAATGATCTGATCTCGCAGCTCTCTCGCTCGGAGGTCTGCCCGCTCCCGATTTTTTTCCTCCTCTTCTCGATTGCCAGGAACTCCACCGAGGCCCGGGTGGAAATTGTGGGAGAGAAAAACTCGGGAGTCCTAGTACCACTCTTGCAAGTGCTCCTTCAACGAGTCTTGAATATATTGCCGTCATTGAAAGCGGCTAGAGTTTTTATTCAAGTGTCCCAAACTCGGTCTGAATATAAATACATATCGTCATAAATTATACCGCCAAAGATCACACACCCCTATGCATGCGGGAGCTCGACGGGAATAACGAAGTTATCATGCGCTCGACTCGCCCCCCTGAGAACCAACATCAGGGCGACAGGAAACCATCCAGAAGTTCGGAAGACACTCAGGATTCCGAGAGGAGCTCGTCCTCCGATCCGGATTGCAGTCCTAGGGGCTCCGAGAGGGAAAGCGAGGAGAACAAGACGGATCTCAGCCCTGTATCGCATAGGCGAACAGATACGGGGATTAGAGGAAAACAAAATAGCGGAATTCGGGAGGGGCGTCCAACTCCCGAGAGAGAAATCCGATGCGAGGAAAAGGGCAAAGATGGGCATTCAGCGCAGAGGGCTCAGGATCCCGAAAAGAGAAGAAGCCAATCCCCCGCCAGCGATTCAGGAAGAAGTCCTAGGTCCCAGAATAGGAAAGAGGGAATTGAAAAGAGTCGAAATGAAGGCAGAACTGAGGAGCCACGAAAATCTGAAAGCGCCAGCCCCTCCGAAGGTTCGCAAGGAAATGTCGCGGATGATGAGCCTTCGGAAGCGAGTTCGACCTCGGCCCCTCAGAGAGACATCTCGGGCAGGTCGCATCCAGAGAGCAGCTCTCAGAGTGAATCCGATTCGTCGGAGAGCCAGCAAGGTAGCGTCGTCTTCGATATGGGCGCAGTAAAGGTGACAGATATTCTCAGCGAGAGACCACAGAACGAGTTCTATGGGAAACCAGATCGGGTGCGTAAAAAAGAACTCCGATGCATCGCGTACGCTTCCCGTAGCCAAAACGCTAAGATGGAGGGAGCTTTGTGTCAGGATTAGGCTTTGCAAAAAACCGCAAATCTCATGAAAAACCGCGGTTATTGACTGCGGTTATTCGCTGTCCCTCATAGAGTGCCATGTTAAAGAAAAACCGCAATTGCGGTTATTACCCGCGGTTGCAAAGCCTAGTCAGGATCCCAGGCAGCGAAGGTCAAGGGGAAGGAGGGATTTTTACCGTAGGAAGTCGATAGCATACCCGAGAGGCGGGAATTACGAGCGTTCGAGTCGGAACGATTCGAGGATGACGCCCTCTCCCTTCAGAGGATACGGCGACGATCATCTTGCTCGATGCCGGCATATGTAGTCAGACATCGTGCAGCGTAGATTTCAAGGCTGGCTTTGGAGTCAAAGGCCGAGTCATCGATTCGAGCCCCGGTTCCGATAGTATCGAATGGTAGATTAGATGATGAAACAACTTATAAACGACCTATTATCTTTATCGTTTAACTCTCTCCGGTTTTTTTCTGAAATGGGGGCTGGAGAATCCCAAGGGAATTATACGGTGGTTCAGTCGTTGAGTCGGACAACAATATCACGGAACGAGCTGCCGCTATGTGAACGTAGTGTTCTCTCTAACATGACGGCGGCGAGCGGCGACTCTCTGAAATCAAGCAGCCGTTCTGCTCCCGCTGTTGTTGCACCGGACGCCGCTCATATCCATCGCATGCAAAACCATCAGTCTGGACTACTCGCGTCGGGACCACTCTTGTCACCGTGTTCCACGCGAGAAGATAACGTATAAAGAAGCTAGACGAGGCATTGGAGGGAGCAGGCCATCAGGAACCGGAGCAAGACTTCAACAAACGTCCGTTTTAACAAGCACCGGGTGACAGATAGGCACATGGATCCGTCCTCCAGCAGTGCAGGTGTGGGGAGACAATTTTCCCTTTCCCCCCGCGCGTCGTTCGATTCAACGGGGGTAAGGGGGGAGGCGGGCGCCTCGCCGTGAAGATGGTGAAACGGTGACGATGCTAGCCAAGCTTTCCATCAAATTCGGATTATGACAAGAGCGAATCTGAGGAGCTGTCTCCGAGGTCACCCGCATGGTCGACTGGCTCGCTGGCCTTTTCGCCTGGCCTCGTTTTTTTCTGTTAGTTGTACGAGTCACTAGAGCATGGCAGATCTCCACTTGCCACCACCGCTGTGCTTTTTTTGGCGTCCTCTTCTTCCGGATAACATGTTATCCGGCGATCCTGGCCATTTGTCTTGCCAGCAAATAGAGACACCCTCTAGGAGGATAAGGGCCACAAGTAGGGTCGTAGGATTGCATGAACATCCCTCTATCGGAATCGTACGAGCTGTTTTAGTTTTTAGGCACGGCCGGAGCTGAATCAGTCCCGCGACCAATCGAGGTATGTGCGGGAGGTGGTCCGTCTCTAGGAAGAAAATTTGATCGTATGCAAAGGGAATCTGCATTCTGCAGGAGTATTCCCCGAAGACTTGATGCCCCACGGAAAACCGGATTTCTCTCAGTGGGCATTCTCGCCGTGGCTTCCATTGCAACCTCAGACCGAAAAAATCGTTCTAGAACACGAATAAATGCTCCCTGTGTTTCTTATAGAGCTCCCAGAGTTCTCACGCGATCGGATTGTTAGCGGCGACGGTCGGAGGCATTCGTTGCGGGCTAACCGCCTCTCTGTGCGGAAACGCTGAGGGACGGGGCGCGAGGAACCCAAAGAACGAGGGTTCCGATGTCAGATCCTCTCGCCGGAGCTGCGGCTGCCCTCAAGTGCTCGATTCTTTGTTGTCGCTGTTTCTGAGAGGCTGCGACCATATATTCCCGGTCCGGAGAGGAGATTGGGTCGGCCAGGAATTTATTCTCCAAACTGTCGATCCGTAAAAAGCCAGGTCATCCGTGGGCTTCGAGTTCGCTCCTGGTTGCCCGCCTGCTCGCAGGCTGGCTCGTCCAACCGCCCTCCTGCTCGCTGGTTCGCTCGGTTGGTTTGTTACTTCGATCATGGCGTCGCCGCCAGCGGCTAAGTGAGTTATTTTTTCGTCGCTACACAGGGCCACAGTATACTGGGCCACAAGTCGAACACGATGTCTACTGGTCGCGAAACACTTTCTCACCTGAAAGTCTCTTCTTGTCGGGGAAGTCATCGAACGCTGAATCAGTATCTGCAAGGAGAGAGAACGGTCTCGGTTAGCTCCTCTGGCCCGACACGCTGTGGAAGGACGCTTCACTGACAAATATCCTGTGAGAAATATCAGATAGTATCGATTCTCGCGTCAGCCGAGAAGTTTGGGCACGTCCTCAAGGAAACGTGAAAGATGTGAAGCGCCAGGAGCGCGGCACCGAGTCCTGTTGATGCATTTCCTCTCTCGTCTTGTTCCGGACTTTGTCTCGACGTTCCCACTTCCGCTCCGCCATGGAGGCTCTCGTGTGGCCGCTCCCTCGATTTTTTTCTCTCCTCGCTGAGTGAGTCCTCTCGTCCTCCGGCTGCGCTTCAAGTCGACGCCGAGACTGACGGGCAGTCGACCGACTGGATGGCAAGCAAAAGCGCCTTTCACCAGCGAGAGCCGGCCGAACGAGCAGAATGGTTGCGGGGGTGAGAAAGTCGGCGACCGCTACCCAGACGTCAGACGGGCAATGAAGCCAATTCCAGCGATACACTCGTTCCGCAGCAAAGGCTAAATCATCCCACCCGATGTACATAGTTTTTGGCGCTTCCCCGACACAAGCCCAACTCGATAGATAGTCCGGAGGAGAAGGAATCTTCAGAGAAATTGCCAGCGCGAGAATATTCGTAGGTTTGCTCGGGGTCTAGAGACTCGGAGCTTCTTTCAGTGAAATTCGTGATAAATTGATGCTTAGATTCTCCGCAGCATCCCCATTGAGGAGAGTGAGAGCTCCTGGCTTCCGGAGCATAATTCGGATGCGGTTTCTTACTGCTCTCATAGCGAGTGCGAGCTCCGAAGCGGACCCTGAGCCGCGATTAGGGCCAAGCCCGTGAGTTGCTCTTGGTGGTGATGGGTTTATCCGTTCCCTCTCGAGGTCTCCCGATATGCTCCATCTTTTCATGGTCGCGTTCTCGAGCGCGATCGTCGTCCATCCTTCGAATTCTAAATGATCGAATTTTCCCCCATTGACCTCTAGACTCGAAAGTTTCGCGAAACGATAGATACTCGGCAACTTGGACGCCTAAGATCTCTGGGGAGCTGGATGCGTCAGGATTTGTGGTGAGCTTTGCGAGCAGCGGAGCACGAAATCGGGAAAATTGCGGATTTATATTCTCCCCGTTGCCGATGGAAAATCTCAGGGAAGCCGCCGCTCAAGCGAAGGGCAGGCGGAACACACGTTGGGCAAGGAATCGAGTCTTATTAGGGATGCCGTCATTGACGCGAGGTCCTCGTTTTCGGAGTTCGCTCAACGCAACTAGGGAAAGATTTCATTAAGTCGTTCCACAAGGGATCCGCTCCGGGCACTCCCTTCCTTGAGCAGCTGTTCTCTTGGACTTCTCCCCTTTCAACTTTTCTTGTTTTTTGTCTTCTCTTGCTCTAACCATCAAAGTCTAACAACACGTCGAAGCTCCACGTTTCTCCGACGTCAGCATCATGGGAGGGAGCCGCGCGACATCAGTAGCAAGGACACGATCGCTAAGAGATACGAGCAACTGCGATTTTCGGAGATTTCGTCTCTTGTCTCGCGGAAAGTCTCATGTCCCCACCTACGCTGACGATTCGCTGGCCCCGACCAATGGCTAATCGATTCGATCATGAGCTGCTCGAAAAGCCTCCGTCCCGGAAGCTCAAGTCGGATAGGATTCTCCAGCATCGGTGGACTTGCCACATTGGAATTATTCATCACATCTTCATTTGGAATGCAACATTTGCGGGAACACGGGATGGCACGAATTCCAGCCTTTTTGTTGGAACGTTCGCAAACTTGCTTGCGCGAGGAGTGCGTGCGTTGTTCATTCTTAAATCTTGATGGTAGATGAGTTTTAAACATGAAGATAAGGGCTCGAAGGAGATGGATCTTTCCTGCTATATCGCGAAAACTTGGAGGGCAAATCATCTTGTGGACCTCGCGATTCTGACTCCAGGCTCCGAACCCCGCCAGTGCTCTTCCTCAGCAGCCTTTTCCCAGGACGATCCCAATATTAAGACGGACCCGTTGCCTCCACCGAGTCCCATGCGTGTATCCATCAGTCTCCCACATGATCCCGCCGTTTGGCGATTCTTCCCTGCAGCCTCCGAAGTCTCCGGCGTGCTTAATGCATTTTTCCCCACGGCCAGACCGTCATGACTCATGAGCACCACTCAACCTCATTTTCTTCATCTATCCAATTCACGGCTCGGCTTCCCTCTTCCAGCCTCCCCAATCAAATTCCCCGGACGAATCATCGTGGAACTTTTGAATCTGTTGGCGTCCAACTCTCATTATCCAAAATCCGTTGGGAACTTCCATTCGGCTCCTCTGGGAAAGAAGCTCAGACGCTGAGCGCAGGTGCTCCCGACTGGGCTGGCATCAGCCGGAATGCCGAACTAAGATGGACAAGGGATGTCCGCTTGGTCAATAGTGTGCCGCGAGTCTCTCTCTCTCCACCCTTTCTTTCGGTTGCCGCTTCGCTGTGCCCAGTTATCTGAACGCGGAGAAGACGGCGCCCTCCAACAAGAAAAGGCGAACAGATTCGCTGGCCAGTCCTCCCGCTTGTCGGTGCCGAGCTTGATGAACCCGTCTCCCCGGGTCCGGAAGACTCCATATCGACCGATGTGAGTCGCTCGCTCCCCGTCGACGAGAGTGAGATAAGTCGAGATTCGAGTAATTTGAGAGCCGGTTTGCTTAGAGCCGAGCCGTCGTCGCTCGACGAACTTCGTTCTCTATCTCCATGATCGCGAAAGCTGTTCAAAAGCCTTCTGAAGTCTTCTCCGTATGTTAATCCGAACAGTTGCTTTCCTCGGAGCTCAAGCACCTGAACGAACTTCGGATACTTCTAATCCTCTCCGACCCGAAATGATGGAGCTCCCGGATTCTGATCTAACCGTTCGCATGATTCCACCGGATTTTCCGGACGTGGATCCGTTCGGATCTTACTCTGTCATTCATTCGCGGCAGCAATTCCGGATTCGCTGGCAAGGGGCACAGGTCTCCTCGCTAACGAACGCGTTCGCTTGCTTGTTAGGACGTTTACCCAAACGATTCAGTGGTTGATCACAACCGTGAGAAGACCAACGATTCAGTTTAGCAGGGTATCCTACCGCCAGACGTACGGGGCGTCCGCGACGACGTCATCGCTATTACGTGTGAAGCGAGAGGAGAAACACTGTGTCCATGCTGTCGAGGTGATAGACTCGTCCTACAGACCGCGGAAGATCATTGCCGTATCGATGCCGGCGTCGCCGCGGCGGCGTTCCCCCGCTCGTAAATGCCGCATACAGCCTTATCACCCCACTTGCTGCCTCATGTATTAATGATAGAACGCTGTGTTTAGGATATGTCAGCCACAGGCGTCCTATAATAACGTCCGTTGGAGCAGAGCCTCGTCCCCATGTCTGCGACCTCGCACTCTCGCCTCTCCGAACCGATCGGTCGAACGAACGATGGACTCGCTACCGGCACTTTCTAAGAGATCTCCAAGGCCTCGCTCGCAAGTTTTCCGGAGGCGGAAACGCTCCACTTTCCCGGGGAATGAGAAATTCTGTATCGGACACGTCTGTATTGACCGGCTCCCCCATGCACCAGGTCGCTGTCGGAGCATTTGCATCTTCTCTGCATTATGTCGATGTCTTGACGGTTTGCACTGTGCGGGGAGAGAGGGAAGAAAAGAGGGAATGGTCCCCAAGCGGATGATTACAGTCCCACCAGCTGTAGTCTGTTCCTCTGAACGGCACCGGGAGCCGACGGGCAGGCATGCAGTTGTACATACAACTCCTCAAGGCCGAGTTGTCGTAGCGAAACGAGAGAGGAATCGGTTGGTGTCTGCGTCGTCGCGAAATAAAGCGAGCTAAACCGCGGGGTCGTCTCCGTTCCTCCATCGCATTTACATATAACCAGCGGCAGGCAGGAGTAGAACGCCTACTCCAGTTGGTATAGTCGCAGTAGTTGCAGAAGAGAGTAGGAGATTGCTGTCATGTGCGCCACGCAGAATCGAGACGGTAGTCCACCGCTCTCCGTACGGAGTAAGCGCTTCCCTCGTCCGTTCACGGTCGGGGCAGACAAAGGACAGAGGAAGGTCATCGATTGCTTCGCTGTCTCTTCCCGTGGAGCTGACCGTAAGGGATGAATCTGAGACGAGGAATGTTGATGGATCTGCAATCCCAAGCAACATTCCGATGGAACATCGACTTTTTTCCTCCCCGCACAATAGGCGTCGACGCAAGCCATATGCTCGAGGTTCCGGGAAGCGAATGCCCAGACAGTGACAGTTGTAAATTTAATGCCTGCTTTGACCGAATGCTTGCGACAAGGGTCGCCCCCCGTTCCCCCACATTTCCCCGATTCCTAATCCGCATAATCCCCAATGTTGTCGACCGACTTGTGTCCTTGCACGGGAGCTTTCGCTGGCGCTTGTTCCTCAATGCGGGAAACATCTCTGACTCGGACTTTTGGCGAACTTATTTTCTGTAGTGGTCGTCAGAAATCATGACGTGATTCCATCGTGCGTAGCCAAAAAATGAAATATGATTTGCAAGCCAACTTTGGCGCGACTGCACTTGGGCCGCTTCAGAGGATTATATATCTCGTGGTGTTTCCAGGCCGTTGATAGCTCGACGCGGCAGTCCGCTGACATTTGAGTCCATGCTCCGATCCTCCCTGAGGCCTCCATTCATCCCGAGGTTCGTGGCGGTGGTAAATGGGGGCGTCAAAGTTGCCTCCGCTATTTCGAGCGTCTCTTCCACCACGAGGCAAACAATCTTGAATCCTGCTGGAGGGACTGACCCGCGAAACCCCGCAAATAAGTTTCCGTCCGATTGCATCCTGTCGTGAGAGTTAGGCTCGAGAAGGGATATTGATGAAGAGAAATTGTGTATTTGGAGAATGAGAGGAAAAGGACGAGATACACTAACGAGTGATTATGGGAGGGACGTTCGCGCGCCTCAGTAAACTCCGATTCCCTCAGCTCACTTTCGAGGATATCTAACGGTCTCTCGATTTATCTGAGATAATTTATTTA